AGCTAAACAGGTTAAATATTCTTAAAACCTGAATTATTAAAAACAACAAGAAAAAGATAAATAAATAAAAACAGAAGAATGATAGAAATTCATAAAAAAAAATTGATAGAAATGTAGATTTGATAGAAAAGGAAATGTATGAAATACATCTCTATTATTGTGTATATTATTTGAACAATTTCGCTTTATTTATTATTCTTTTTTTTTGTCATGATCAAAACTTCTTTTTTTTTTATAATTTGAGTGTTATTGCAACATTTATCTTTTATAATCTTATAATTTAATAATATAAAGAGAACATCTTCTTTATAAATATTGTATAACTATGTTATTTGCGTTATGAAAAATGGTTACAGTCAAAAAATGGATACGATATTGAAAGTAATTAAAATGCATTGGTTTGCTTCCATGAATATGTTTACTGAAAACTCTACTCCACAACCCACATAAGTTGCTGTGATTCAATTAATCCACAGAATAAAAAAGAAAAATTGGTGTTATTACTTAACCATGAAGTTTTATCTAAACTTGATTGTAGTTATATATACTAGATTTTTTTGCAAAATTATCTTTGAAATAGTAATCATCACTCGTGTTTTTAGGAGGATGTGAAGAAATTATTAAACACTTGCTAGAAAATTGAAAAACATAGTTATTAATGTTATTCCTGGAAAATTTCCATAATGTATAATTAAATTGATGTGATTTAAGGATGACGGACCAGGAAAACCGACTTGCAGCCAGATTTACGATAGTGAAGATAATGAACTTTTTAAATCTCAATTCTTTTTTGACGGCTATGAACGTAAGTCCTCTCAAAATGCTGTGAATAGTCACTCAAGAGTTGCTTTTGATAAAAAAAAATCATTAGTCAAATCAATCTTACATGTTCAAAAAACAGTAAAGTTAGGTATTATTATTTGAGGACTTTAAATAAAGATTCTGATCAGTTAAGCCAAGAAGATTCATTCAATAAGTTATCTAAGGAAGTTAAATGTGTAGCAAATGAAATGGATATACTTGGATATAAATGGATAGGAAGGGTTAGGGTTATGGTTAGGGTAAGGGTTTATTGAGACGAATAAAAAGTTTATTGAGACGAATAAAAAAGTAGCTATTCTTTTTTCATACATTGGAAAAATTGTTTGTAACTTTATTACGCTTTACAATCTTAAGTTGTTTGTAGCGTTTGTACACTTTTTCATTATTTTTTTAATTATTATTTTATTTAATAGCATTGTTTAGATGAGAATTTAATTGGAAGTTCACGCTGCCTTCCTAACCGATGTCGCAAACTCTGCCCTGGTTTGAACCATAGATCCTTTGTTTCTGAGGCAAGTGCGCTATCATTACGTCATTCAGTTTTGCAGTGATTGCGCAGTTGAACAGCGGTTTAAAGTTATTATTTAAAGGACTAATTGTCAAAATATTATCAATGGAAGTTGACGATTTTATTGAAATGCGCGTAGTCTTAAGAATTTTATTTCATTTCATAGAAACATAAGATTTCTATACAAAAAATTTCAATATACTTGTTTGATTTGCTAAACTTATTTTGTTTTGAATTCAAACTTGTTAAGAATATATAATTAAAATATTAATAGAAGATAGGTATTACTATATATAGCATAATTTACTATATAAAATACTATATATAGTATATATATAGTATATATATAGTATATATATATATATACATATATATATACATATATATATATATATATATATATATATATATATATATATATATATATATATATATATATATATATATATATATATATATATATATATATATATATATATAAATATATATATATATATATATATATATATATATATACATATATATATATATATATATATATATTTATATATATATATATATATATATATATATATATATATATATATATATATATATATATATATATATATATATATATAAATATATATATATATATATATTTACAATTACAAATTGCTTAATTAAAATTATAACCTTAAACTATATTAATTTCTACTTTTTTTGACGATCTTAGCGAAACTTCAGAAACTAATCCTGGGATTTCGGGATAAATAATTTTACGAACTCCTGGGGTTTCGGAAGCATTGTTAGTCACATGATCATATTTTACTTTGAAATTAACAATAAGCTTAAGACAGAAATGTATAATAATTCTCAAAGTGAAGAGTAAAAAAAAACTTTGCCTGCCGATCTAAGTTCTTAGCAATGATGTAACAGGATTTGGTGAAAAAAATATGATTTTTACATATTTAGGCTCTATTATCCGGCCTTTTTTGTAACTATTTAGAAAACACATAATGTCTGTTAATTTTTAACGTAATGTTTTGTGAGCCTCAAATGATTGAAACGATATAAATTTTCATTTTCCAAATAGTTGCAATGAAGATTATAGTTAGTTTTTAAATATTTTTTTAATCTTAAAGTTTCTTAACCGTTGATATAATCATAATAATCATCAAGTTTCTTAATATCAAGTTTCTAATAATAATTAAGTTTCTCAACAGTTGATTTTTTATTTAACTCATTTGCAAATTGTTCAAATGCTGCAAATACATTCACCCCATCAGCAGCAATGTCCTTTTACAAACCAGGCTTTTCTATGAGATTTTTTTTCTTATTTAGTATCCGCATTAAACTTGAGTTGGACAGAGGCTCGTACGCAATTTTTATACAACTTTCCTTAAACAAAGCAATGGTATGACTGTTTTTTTCTGGTAAAATGCCACTAGCTGCAATTTCAACATCACCACTGTCACACTTTATTTTGCAAATACCATAAGAGACGTTTTGTAACAGTCTACTTTAAAAGATGAAATCTAAAAAATGTTTGCAAATAAGTTTTTTTGGGTTATTACAAAACCTTTTTGTGAGGCTTTCCATTTTCTGGCAATTCTTATTTTATGCATAGTGCACTTAAATGTGTTGCATTTAAATTGCTTTGTGTATTGATTATGATCAATAAATGCCAAAATTACTAGTTAAATTGTTGCACTACTGTTTTTATACATTTCTGCAAGTTTTTCAATTTTAACTGGAATTTCTGTTTCAGCATTTTTATCACATTCAAGCACTTTTAAAAGCTCTTCCAATTGACCGGACGCAAAAGGATCTGCAAAACTTTTTTCTGAAGTGTTCTTCTATACGTTTATATTTGTTTCGCATTTGTTGCTTTGTATATTCATTGATAAGTTCAAGTTTTATTTGATTGAAATTTAATTGGACTGGTCGGAAGACAAGCTGCGATATTTTCTATGATTTACTTGAAATATCAGATTCTTTTTATTTATGTAAAAACTTGTCTGGTATAAAATCAATACCAATAGCTTTTAATGTAGATTCGTGTTCAGTTATTATGTTTGCTTATTTTTGTTTGTCTCGGAATAGTATTCTTTTTGATGACGATTGCATATAATTGAACCGATTGGAATCTATGAACTATAATAGCAAAATATTTAATGTGATATAAGTATTGGTGCGTGTTGCCCTAATAGTGCTTTTTTCATTGTTTTAACTTTGTGATTATATTGGATAGTTTTTTTATATTCTATTCCTAATGTGTTGCGATGATATGCAAATACTTTCACTGTATTGTTAAAATCTCCAGTTAGCTAATAGCTTTTAAAGACCTTAAAATATAACATAAAATAATCCAAAAACCAGCTAGCTCATAGCTTTTTAAGACCTTAAAATATAACATAAAATAGAGTAACAAGGAAACATACTGAATTCAAGTGCTTATCAGTATATATAGAAGCACCCAGAAAATATCTATACTATTTAAATGTTATTTTTTTTGAATTAGTGCAATAGTCCATAAGTATCTATTAAAAATAAAGAAGATTTAGGCCGATACAAGTTTTTTTTAAATAAATGTTACAGTGAACCCAGAGCTTTGAACATAATCATGTCACAATCAATGCGTAAAAAAAAATTTAGTTTTTGAGTTCAATTTGGCGGTTGAGCCTTTACTTTCCTATAGGTGTATTGATACTAGTAGGTACTTAAGTAAATAAAGACTTATAATAACAAAAATTAAGGGGTAGTCGCGGCTTAGAATGGAAACCAAGATTAAAAATGACAAAAAAAACAATTTTTCGCGAAAAAAAACAAAAGAAAAAAATTTCTATCACCAATTTTATTAACCTTTGGTCTTAACTAGCTAATAAACAATAATCAAGTAGATAGTTATAAAGTATTTAATTAGCTTTCCAAAATAATATTTGCTATAACTATATTCAAACTATTTAGATCTCAAATTAATTTGTTATCTTTATTAATTTTTAATCTTCACATAAACTTTTGCATTTGGCTTTTTATGGAAGAAATTAATTTCAATATGATCCCATAGCAAATCGCGTCATCTACACAACTTTTATGTAGACTTTGAGTTTAAGTATTGTTTTAGGAAAAGCTTGATTATCTAAATTATGGTTTATAAAAACAGCGTTGTTGATGCATTTGACAGCCGAACACTTAACTCCCTCTTCAACATACAATGCATAAATGTTAAAAAAATTATAATTTTGTCTCTTAAGTAAAGAAAACCTTCTAAATTTTTACAACGGTAAAGTTGAATATAAATATCTATTCATTGATTTACTCATTGATAACTAATGTTTAAATAAGCAAGTTTAGCGTTTGACATATAAAAGACATATAAAATTTATCAAGATAAAAATTTATTTATCTACTTTTTTATTGTGTTTATAATTTAAGTCATTTGAGTCTAAAAGTCTGATAGTCTTTTTTGTTTTAACAATCTGGTTTAAGACCTGAAACATTCTTGTTTTTTGTTGAAATATGATCTTGAAAAGATAAGATTTAAGGATCTGGTAGCGACATTTTTATAAAAAAAGCAATCTGATTTGTTTAATTAAAGCCACTGTGTTTTCCTTTTATATTCTTTTGTGTCTCGTGTAAATTTAAACATTTCACTGTTAAAATCAAAATCTATCTTTATGTTAATTCAGTTTTATTAAAAAAATATTTTCCTTGCTTTTTTTATGGTGCATTAGAATCATAAATAAGGAAAATTTGAATTATTTACATAAAATATAACTTTCATAACATTTATTGTTTTTTGCAACAAAATATGTTCATTAAAAGTAATTTAAGGTAATTTGTTGTTTACTTGTATTACTTATAAGGCTCATTTTTTAAAATATTCAGAATAATTGTTACAATTATTATTTAGAAAATTATTTTCTTTAGTAAATTAGTTCGGAGTTTTATTATTTTAGAGATATATTTTTTTATTAATTTACATTAATTTTACTTTATAAATAATTTCAACAATAATTTAACATTTATTATCAATCATATAAAATCAGTCATTAAAAAATTAAGGTTTTCATAAGGATTTGGTAATTAAAAATGGTTATTTTTATTTATTAGACGCATAATTTAATTGAACGAATTTTATTCATATTATTACACGAATACATGAAAAAATAGGTTTTATAATTGTCACTGGATTTAATTTTTAACATTAAAAAAGTAGAGGTGGATCTAGCATGTTTAGGTTTTTGACTTACGTCAAATAAGGTAGATGTGCAAAAAAAAATTAACGTTTTAGAAATTTTTTAAACAAAAACGTTAAAATTTTGGGTGATGGGTGAAAGTAAGCTATTTCAAATAACAAAAAATGGTGGATCCATTTTTGTGTAAAACAATACTGTTTATAGAAGTCATACGAAATTATAAGATTTATAAAAACTAAAAAAAAACAGTGTCTCAAAAAATTATCCGACTAAACAAGTTTTTCCCCAAAAAAATGTTTACGCTCTAAATTATACTAAACAATGAATAACTATACTTACGTTGTCTGTCGTATTGGGAATAGTATTTTATTTAGCGTTATTTTTTGATTCATGCTTCAGTTGGTTAATTATTTGTCCTAAAGTAAACTTAGTTATAAATAAGCTTGTAAAACAACTTTCCGACCAAGCAATATTTAGGTATGTTTAATTAATTTTATGTAAAATTTTTTGGAATATTTTAGCAGATTTTTATACAATTAAAGAAATTGCATAACAAAAACTTAAAAAAAAAGTTTCTTGTTTTTTTAACTAAATTTTTTTTTTTTTTTGTTTTTTTTGTTTTTGTTGCAATTAAATTCTGTAATATAATACCAGAGACTATTATTCTTTCTAAAATAAACTAGTTATAAATATAAAAAATCAAAGACAAAACAATAAGAATTAGTTATACAAAAAAAAAAAAAAAAAAAAAACGCGGAAAACTTGCAGAAGACCATTAAGTCTTATCATCAAGAAACGCTGTAATAATTATGTTTTTACAATATTAAATTCCTATAATAGTGTTAAAAGCAAAACTTAATTAACTAAGGTAAATAGTGTTAAAACCAAAAACTTTTCAATGTAAAAAGACAAAAATAAAAAAAATAAAAAAAAAACAAAGCAGTTTAAAAGAAATCATCCCAGCCGGCAATTTGACGTCCTAAGTCTCGTCCGTAAGACATAATTAGTTAGTCTTAAATGAAAGGCTTGAGGACGTCTATTCCAGACGTGGTTTAGATGTTTTTTCAAGACGTCCTAGAGACGTTTTTTAACACGTTGTAGAGACGTCTCCGGTTTGTCTCATATGAAAGACTTAATGACTTATTTTTCAGACGTCCTAGGGACGTTTAAATTTTACCAAGACATTCTTTCAAAAGTTATATAAAAATGCAATGATTTACAACACACACCTTAAATTTGCCTTAATCTAGGCAAGGGAAGTTATAAAAAGAAATCAATGTAAATTAAGTTTAATTTGATACATTTAAAATAAATTAATATTTTTTACAAAAAATAAATTAATATTTTTTACAAAAAATAAATATATTTTTTCAAACAAAGTTACATTTTTCAAATTAAAATAGTAGGTACTGTAGAATATAATCGATAGTGCATTATAAATAGAAGAAAATTGATTTAAAATGAAAAAAATAAACACAACAGTTAATTAAGCCATTATTGATTAAAATCCATATTAGTCGATGTTCTCTTTACTCGATCAGCAAAATGCCTAATTACTCTCCCAATAAGTTGAATGGCATCCATTTTGGTTAAGTTTTTATTTGACTTTAAAGCAGCTTCTAATAAAAATAGCAAAACATGTTTCAACAAGTTCTTAAAATAAAATATACATGTCATGTATACATACACTTGAATACATTTCATATTCCATATTCAAAAAATTAAAAAAAAAAATTTTTTTTTTAAATAAAACATTATTTTTAAATTTTTATTAATCAAACACATTAACAAGCTAATAAGAATACCAGTGACAGCGTTACATAGATTTGTCAACTCTTTAAACTTTTTTTTCTTCTTTAGACAGTTCATGCTGTATTCTGACAAAATAGTGACTCTTGGCGGTCTACATATATAAAAGAATATAAATGCTGTACTGTCAATCATAAATGTTAAAATTCAAACTTTTGCTATTTACTTACAAGAGCAAAATATTTTTAATTGTATCAGCTAAATTTTCACCGCTAATTAATAAAAACTGTTTTACCAAAAAAGAAATAATGTAAAAGAAACATTGACAATATAAAATAAATATTGCAATAATATATAACATATAAACTATAAAGATGAAACTCATG